CTACAAATATTTCCCACCCCTATTACCAAATCCCCATCTATCCCAACCTCTGATGTTGCCCACTCCACATTTTGTGATACCCCCAGGGTCCTCCTCTCACTATCAATTTTAGTCAACACCAGGGTTGCCATCGACGAAATTCAAACTCCCAATTTCTATGGTGAGGATCATTATAGTTGGTTGGCTATGACAGAGCATTTTCTTGCATATTACGTAATGGAGGCTCACCATCGAGTCTTTGTGGTAGCAATGCATTTTGCGGCCGATGTGGCTCTCTAGATGAGATGGTACAAAGAAAATCATCTTGGGGAGTCATGGGACACCTTTTCTCAGAAATTGGTCCATCAATTTAGTCCCAGAGGGGCCTTCAACTTCAACGTGTTACTCTTCCATATTTGGCAATAAGTAATGTTCATGATTACAGCAATGAATTCATTTAGCGATCTTGTCGTGCCCATAGATGGTCAGATGCATAATTGATGGATGCATTTATTGGGGGACTTCACGACGAGTTACAATATGAGATGTTAGCCATTAGTCCCGACTCACTTACCCGAGCTATGGAGCTGGCTCAATTATTTGAGAACCCGGTTCAACCCAGAAAAGGGTTGCATTCTCGTTATTCTCCGTTGAACCATGTGCAATTCTCCTTAGTTTTCAGGCCACAATATGTACCTCATACTCCTACAACGCTGCCAGGGCCGTCATCTAAACTTACCCATTCACCCATGTACTGTCGCATATCACAAGCGGAATTTCAGAGTAGGAATGAGAAAAGCTTGTGCATCTATTACCTACAAAAGTATCAACCAGGCCATTTTTGTATGATAACTCTAGCCCTTACTTACTCATTGAATCCATTTCATTGGAGATGACAGAAAAGCCAGCAGATAACATGATACAATCAGAGGAGCTTGACCCTATGCCGGAATTGGATACTTCGATTTAATTTCACTCAATTAGTGGTTATCGGGGAACAAGAGGGCGTGCAATGCGCCTTTATAAAATGATTAACTCTACTCCTATTCATGTTTTGGTGGATTCTGGTGCTGACAACAATTTCCTTAATCCTCAGCTTGCTTCGACACTAGGATAACTCATTAATACTGTTGCCATAGATTCGATCATAGTAGCCAATGGTGGCACTTGTTTCACAAAAAAGACGATGCAGAACGTCGAGGTGAGTTTTTCAATTTTCTTCTACTTATAAATTACTTAGTGTGGTTGGTTGTGACATGGTTTTTACTGTCGAATGGTTGAAGTTGTTGGGTTGGATTCGTTGGCACTTCGAGCAAGAGATCATGGAATTTTCAATGGCAGGACAAAATTATAGATTAATTGGGGATAAGTTTTCACCATCAACCCAGCTTTCCACTACAACCAAGTTTGAGGGTTATATCACTCAATTGTTACAAAAGCCTAATATGAGTTTATCGGTGCCAACCGTTTCTCTAGATGTTTTTGTTCTATCTCTTTGCTAATATATTTTCTGAACTAACCAACTTCCTACAACATCGAGAAGTTGATCATAGAATCCCTCTGCTGCCTAGCATGACTCTAGCGAATGTGAGACCGTACCGTTACGCCCATTGACAAAAGGATGAAATTGAATGTCAAGTTACAGAGATGCTTCACTAGGCATTATTCATCATAGCTCCAGCTCATTTTTGCCCTTGCATTGTTGGTTGGGAAGTCGAAAGTACATGGCGATTTTGTAAAGATTATTGCACATTGAACTCATTGACAATTCTGGACAAGTTACCAATTCCAATAGCAGATGAGCTTTTTGATGAATTATATGGTGCTGTAATTTTTTCCAAACTAGACTTATGTTCTGGTTATCACCAAATTCGAATGGCGAATGAAGACATTGAGAAGACAACCTTTTGTACGCACGAGAAACACTATGAGTACTTGGTTATGCCTTTTGGGCTTACCAATACGTCTTCCACTTTTTAGGCCCTCATGAATTCCATCTTTAAGTTGTATTTACGAAAAATTGTCTTCATGTTCTTTGATGATATCCTCGTCTACAGTCGCACTGAATCTGACCGTTTGAAACACCAGAGTACAATTTTTGTACTAGTTCGTGCTAATCAGTTATTCGTGAAGGCTTCTAAATGTGCTTTTGGGCAGTAATCAGTTCAATATTTAGGCCATGTAATTACCAAGCAAGAGTAGCGGTTGATTAAACTAAGGTTCAATGCGTTCATGAGTAGCCCAAGCCAACTACGTTAAAAGGTTTGCGAGGTTTCCTTGGCCTTACGGGTTATTACCGTTGTTTTGTAAAGAATTTTGGTGCTATTGCTTGCCCTTTAATAGATTTGTTGAAGAAAAATGGTTTTAAGTGGACATTGGCAGCAGAACAAGTATTTACTCAATTAAAGTTGGCCTTAACCTTCACTCTGATCTTAGCCCACCCCCCAATCACCAGCTTGGTCCTCGTTAGGTCCAAGAGCACAAAGAACATAAGACATGTGGCTTGCCTAACACTGCGCCCCAACGCCTCAATCCGAGGCCCCAGCCACTCAAGCTGCCCTTGGCTTTAGCCAAGCCGAGTAACCTAAGCAGTGGTCCCTACCACAACACTTCATCAGCCCATGCCGAGCTAACTTCTGGCCCCTGCCAGCATACGTGCCGTACCACCTCAACGGTAGCCTCGCGACAACACTATCCAAGAAGAAGACAAGGAAAATTAATTTTTTTCTTACCTCGGTACGGTGTGGAGAAGACGAAGAAAGCAATGAAAGACGATCCTTTGCACGGGCAAGATGTAGAAGATTGCTAAAGGAGGGGGAACAAATATTTTCTAAGCTCTCTCTCTTGTAGGGTAGAATAAATCGCTCTTCAAAGTTGATTTAATAACCCACTTAAGGTGGACTTAAATAGGCTTTGAGAGAAATTTATTTCCCTTTTCCTAGAAGCAGTCTTAAGTTTCCTAAAGCAAGAAAATCTCTACACCAGTTGCCCTTTTCTGCAAGCAACCCAACATGTGTGGGGGCATTTGTGGAGCCAAAAATAATCAAGAGGCGACACGTGAATTTTTGGGTGAAAATAACAAAAGTACCTTTAAGGCACACTAGAATTCCTACGCACGACCAGTGGACACTCATTCTTCAATCAAGTCAAATATGCCCAAATAGGTATTTATTTTCAAACCTATTTCATCGATCCTCATCATACCTTCTCCACAAGGTAACCCCCAAAACATTCCGTTTAAAATTATGTTAATTAGTCAATTAATAGATTTATTACCTAATTAATATATTAATTGTCAATTAAATTACCAATTACACCCAAAAAATTCGCAAAAGGCCGATCACCTTCTTTCCCAAAGGGGGCCGGCCATGCACTATATATTCAACCTCATTTCCTCTAAAAACCTAGGTCTTCACTCTTGCTAAACACTCAAAATTCTCCAAACACTTTTCCCTCAAAATTCTAACTTTGGCATTGGAGGTTCTTCGGCCAAAGCCCCCTTCCCCCCTCCTCCCCCCCACTCCCAATTCATCATAGGCGCATGAGGCTCTTGGCCTTGACCTAAGGTGTTATTTGTTTTGTAGGTGCAATTTTGTCCAAGATCAAGGAGGAAGAAATTTGCATCCACACTAATTAGACAAGAAATAGAAAACAATAGAAAAATAAGTAATTATAAATAACAATCCTTGGCGACACGGTGCCATAAATTTGATAGGATTCAAAGAACACCACAAAGTAGCACACAAATGTTCTATTGATTTTCCTTATTAACACTAAGATTTGTCAATTGTATGAAAATGGTGTTTCCCGCAGAAGATTGTTTTATCTAACAACTTAAAGTATCACAAAAACTGGGTTGTTGTCCCTCTTGACCAGCCACTGAAAAATAATTATTAGACTGACTTACAATTATCTAAATTCAATGAAATTTTGGAATGGAGGTAGAGGGAGAAGAGTCGAGAGAGAGAGGAGAAGGGCTTTGAAAAATTGGGAGTCGGGGTGAAAGGATTAGAAGAAATCTTGGGTAAGAGTCTTCGAGAATTTTTTGTTTTTAATTTTTTTTAGATTTTTAATTTTTAATATTCATGTGGGCTCGTATTGACATGTGGCGCCCATTTATTGTCCACGTGGGTGCCACATCATCAGTTAACCAATGTTTTAATAGAAATTTAATGTATATATGAATTAGGTACCAAAATAGGATGAAAAAACTTGATGTATCAAATGTTGAAAACTAAAAGACTTCATAATAGTAAACTGAGATCAACCTTAAAAAATAATTTGATTTCATATTTTTCATATGTCAAAATTGACAGCACACTGTGAATTGTTCAATATCGTCCTGAGGTTTGTAGAAAAAAAGTTTAGAAGCGTCCTTACCTCTCGAAGACAAGGATTAAATCTTTATTCGGTTGGACAAAAAAGGAGACTACTGGCACTACGTGCAAAGAAACTTGAAATCGCAAGTAACACAAGAAGAATATAATAGATAACTGGAGTTTGAATCGAAGGATCTTCGGCTCCGAGAACTCCGGGACCAGGCTGCGTCTCTTTTCAAGATAGAATTATCTCGCCATCCAGATATAATGAAAAATTGCACCGCGGATGAAGCCATTTTTTCTTTTTTTAATGACCAAACAATACATTGAGGAGTCCTTTAGGCGCGGCGATAACCGGCCTAAAGATATCCTCATGATCGACAAAAAGGAAATAGAACAATTAAACAATATGATCAAAGATCTAAAAGAGAAAGGACCCAGATCCTCCACGTTTCGTTCAATTGTGGAGGCGTATTTTCCCCTTAATGATTTTAGATATTTTTTTCGGAAAGCGTAGAAATCGTTCGGGGCCCACTCATTCCAGCGGGAGTTCGTGGGGAAGGGGAGAGGTGAGGCGGGCCCCTTCAATTCAACAAAGCCAGGCTTGGTGACGACGTCGTTTACATCGTCTTGTCATTCTCTAAAACCCTAGCAAATAACAAAACAAACAAAAAAAGGAACCTCTCACTGACTCTCCCTCCATCCAATGGAGCAGAGATTAGCGAACGCATCGCATCTAACCCTGAACCAGAAGAAGTTCATCGAGACCGCTCTACTTGCGGACCTCCGAGCCGACGGCCGCCGCCCCTTCGATTACCGTAACCTCACCGTCAAGTTCGGCAAAGACGAGGGCTCTGCGGAGGTGCAGCTGGGACAAACTCACGTAATGGCCATCGTCACTGCCCAGCTTGTCCAGCCCTACCGCGACAGGCCCAATGATGGCACTCTTTCCATCTTCACCGAGTTCTCCCCAATGGCCGACCCCTCCTTTGAGCCAGGCCGCCCTGGCGAGAATGCCGTCGAGCTCGGCCGCGTAATCGACCGCGGGCTTAGGTTAATTCCTTCCCTTCTTTGGTTATCGAATTGCGGTACTTTTAATTTGAGCAATGCCTTGTGTGTTCCTAAAGTATGGATTTTTTTCTTTTTAATTTATGCGTGATTGTTTTACAGAGAAAAAGTTAGTGATTTAGAACCTAGCTAAGCATTCATTTTAGGATGGGGCTCTTCACATATAAGCCGAATTTGTTTTAGAATGAGCTCGGCCGCTGATACTAGCATTACAATTTAGAGAAAACACTTCAAACTCAATACTTTAGAGAAAAACCCAGCTTACTTTGTGACACTAAAACGAATTTCACAACTAAGAATCAATTAGAGTGTGACAAGTGGACAAATGATAGTTTTTATTTTTCCGCCAATTGAGCTCATAAAGTGTTCTTTTTATTGTAATTTATAAAACTTATAGTTGTCGGGATGCTTCTTCTAATTTACTATTTTAGAATCCATCTATAATGTTTTTTAATTTTTCTCTGTTATAGTTAGACATGCTTATTATAGTTAGCGTAGTTAAGCTTAAGGATTCTTTCATTTGAGTAATGGAAAACAAGAAAGAAGTATATGTGACTGTTTGGTTGTGCATAAAATGAATGCATTTTGAAGGGTTAGAAATAAATGTGCAGGGAAAGCCGAGCAGTTGATACAGAATCACTTTGTGTTCTTTCAGGGAAGTTAGTTTGGGCTATCCGTGTTGATCTCCATATTTTAGATAATGGAGGGTAAGCTGTTTATTTGGATATTGCATTTATATTTTGTTTCATTTTCCCGTGTATATATTGACGTTTAACTTTATAGAAATAAAATGTGGACAGTAACCTTATTGATGCTGCTAACATTGCGGCATTAGCTGCTTTGTTGACGTTTCGGAGGCCTGAAATCTCCTTGGGGGGAGAAGATGGTCAGGAAGTGATTGTACATCCACCTGAGGTTAGCTACTCTCTTTCAGAGAATAATTAAGGGTGTCTTTGTTGAGAGATAAAAAAATATTCAGTGCTGATGATTTTAAAGGTGTAGTATTAAGATTTGTTAAAAATGTCATGGGGATTTGTGGTGATAAACTTGATTTTGATGTTGGGCTGGTTCTGTTTGAAAACACTTAAATAGATGGAAAAGAAACAAGAGAAATGAGAAAATAAGATAGGAAGAATAATGCTCCACCAGAACACTTTAAGAGTGTGGTCTTCATTGGCTTTTTTAGAGATATACTATACAAAATCTTAGATAGGTCTTGTATGGTATCTTGGATTGGATTGGAGTGGATAATCCTCTAATTTCAAGGTACATTGAAGGTGGAAGTGAGTGGATTTTCATTTGGAGGGGATTAGGAGGGACTAGACATGAAGGAAATTGAGCCCTTTTAATCCTACCATTTAGGGAGAATTAGAATGGATAAGTTTCCTTGATGAGTAATCAATCTTCTATACTCCAGTTGGAGTTACTGTTTTTAATTTGTCCCTTCAACATACCTTGAAATTAGGCCATCCCAATCCAATCCTAGATCCCAAACAACGCCATAGATTCTCAAGTCAAGTCCTATTGAATTTCTTTGTGGACTGTAAAGTTTCTTGAAGAGAAATGCCTAGTTGGAAACGGAGGATTTCTACTAACAAACGGGACCTAGACCCAAACAAAACAGTGGAAAAAGATTCATTACCAAGAAGTGCAATAATCTAAACCTATAAAGTTACCAGAAGACCTGTATATTGTGGTAATAAACATCAATTAACACTTTTTTGACACTTGGTCATGAACTTTGCGAATCTAAACAGAGGGAGTGTAAATGCTATTCTCATCAATGTTCAACTGTGTACACGTTAAAAGAAACAAAATGATAGAAGAAAATTGATGAGATTTATTACTTCTATACCTTATAACTTGAATAATCTTAATCTTTTTTATTTCTTACGTATGGCCATGTGACAGGAGAGGGAGCCTCTTCATCTGATCATACATCATCTCCCTATAGCAGTAACCTTTGCATTCTTCAGTTATGAGAGTAGTGTGGTAAGCAAAATTTATCTCTCTGAACGTTTGTATTTGTTCAGAACTTAGAAGCAACCATATAGGCTTTTGTCTGACTTTATTCAATGCCACATAGGTGATAGATCCAACCCATGAGGAAGAGGCTTTTATGGGGGGGCGAATGACTGCGACAATTAATGCAAATGGAGATGTTTGTGCTATTCAAAAAGCTGGAGGGGAGGGTGTCTTGCAGAGTGTTATAATGCAATGTTTGCGAATTGCTTCTGTCAAGGCTGGTGCTATGACAGAAAAGATCAAGAAGGCGGTGAGGTTTTCTCTCTATGAAACAGTCTTTGAATACTTGAGTTGCTCTCTTTCACTTGAAAAAGATATTAACGCTTTACATAATTCTGGAATTATAAAATGAATTGGTATCTGTTATCTATATGACTGTTGTAGGAGGCAAATAACAGAATCTCATTTTGTCTCTGAAGAACACATCAGTGACATTTTGTCTCTGAAGAACACATCAATGACATTTTGTCTCGGAAGAACACATCAGTGACATTTTGTCATCAGTATTTCTTTAAAGGTCTCTTCTAAAAAGTATTTATGATCAAAATTGACTAAAGAAGTGTTGACTTGAAATATATATTTGGATATAACTTCATATGTTCATTCATCAGGAAAAGCGGTATCTGGTCAAATGTGTATCAGTATTCTCACGTTTTGGCTCCTTTCTTAATTTTTCTACTCCAATTCAAATGCAGGTTGATTCATACAATACAGAAAGAGCATTACGGAAGATCAAGCGCCATACTTCTGTTCCCATGGATGTTGATGGAGGTGCTTCTAACATAGGTGTGCAGCAAAACTCTTCTTCTGTTAATCATATGGAGGGATTAAAGACGATGTCTGAGGAAGGAGTTGCAAATCAAAGTGAGGGCGCTGAAGGTGAAACTAAATTATCAGACAAAAAACAAACTAATAAGGGTAATGAAGATGCGAAGGATTTAATTGGAGGCTCCTCAATTTGGTATGGTTCCAGTCTTATAAAAATTTAGGACCAATGAATGTGTTAAAATGGCTTTAAAAGATTAGATTTTAGCGGACACTTGCCTGTTTGCTTTGTGCTTCCTGTCCTCTATTGATAGTACTCCTCTTTTGTATATCCCCCATTGTATGTGGGCATTCTTTTCTTAAAATTTTACTGAACTTCTGTACTTAAAGAAAAATGCCTTAAGGGAACAAATTTAGCAAATGATTGGAGAACCATTTTAATTTTCAATGGACTGGGGTAGAAGCAGTTGCGGACCCAGGCCAAGTGAAAAGAAAATTCATTAATAAAAGGAGCTGTCTTTGGGACTCCAAAATGATCATCCAAAGTCCTCTTTTGTATTCTTATTAGGGAGAATTTGCACATGGAGAAGTAATTAAGTGAGAGTTTTTTTCTTTTCCTTTTGCAATGTAGAACCTGGGGTCAATTTCTGGGTTAGACTTCTTAGTTTCCATATGCATTGGATTTTTTCAGTTTTGTTTTCTCAATGAGAGAGAGATGGAGGCTTCAATGTCCCTATTGATTTATTCTATACTAGTTTGTTTATTTTTTTTCAATATTAATCTGTTTTTCCTTTTTCTCAGGGATCCTTACTCAAAGGGTGTTGATTCAGATTTTTTAAAAGCTTCTTTAGCTTCACATGGTACTATTTTATGCCATCACTTATATGAGAAAGAAATTACCATTGTACATATTGCTGCTTTTTATCACTCCTATAGCTCATCCTAGAGATTATAAGACTAATTATGATGTTACTTTAATTGCTCATCCTTGTTGAATGTGGAATTAATTCATACAAATGGGGAAATTAATATTGGTTAGGACTTGCAATTGAAAAGGATCTAAGTTAGATCTTGTTTTTTTTGCCTTTTTTGTCTACCCGAACTGTAGGAAATTGCATCGAACTTCCCAATTAAAGAAAAAAGATATCTCAAGACACAAATTAGCATTGTATTACTGTACACAATTTACTTTTTATTGGGCATACGCTTTTTTTGGTCTGACGTAATGAGAATGTTTACTAATTCATACGATGTTTATTTATTTATTGTCACTAAGTGCTCCAGTTACAGCATACATATACTTACAAGCTCTTGTATAGATGCATACTTAGGGGAGGACTTTTATTTACATACATTCAGTCACCAATGCATACTTATGCATGCACATGCACATATATATAATAGATGGAGAGAATTCTCATCCATGTTAGGCATGATGCATGCAGGAATGTCAATGCCTAATAAGAAACCCGAGGACTCAAAAGGTGAGGAAACAAATCGTGAAGCCATGCTGGAGGAACCTCCTGAAGATATTAATCCAATGCTTTCACCCATTGAGGGAGCTGAAACTGCAGAGCGAACAACTCGAGAGAAAACCTTGAAGGATGCTGTGAAGCCCAAGAACAAGAGACCCAGGAAAAAGAAGGGCTCCTCTACTGGTCCAAGCTAGATGGCTTTCTGCTCATGGCATGTATGGTGTTATGTGGACATATTTTCTTATGCACGTCTGTATGCCTTGAACGTAGATAGCTAAATTTTGGAAAGCAAGGATACCTTGTTTCTGTACTCATAATGTTAGGAAAATTAAATATTTTATTTGAAAAATGCATTTCGGTGTTTTATAAACCCCTAGTATATTTTCTAAAACCTTTTTAAATAGTGCTTGCAATGTGTTTCTTTGATGTTCATAATATAATTATGAAGAGTGAATATGTGCTTTCAAATGCTTGGGTGAAAGGAGGATTTTGTTTTATGATAATTTTCCCAGTTTCATGCTAATTGAAAGCTATTATATATGCATAAATGATTGTTTTGTGATCCTGCTGCTTGGAAGAAACGTAGGTGTTGCACTTCTCGATGGAATTTGTGGCAGGCAAAACGAGTTGATCAAGTCTGTGGTTGACTGCAAAGTGAAGCAAGGGGATACGTATATGACAAGTAAGTTGAGATACTGTAGATGATTGTCTACACTCGAAATTTGGCTTGACTAAATGCTTGCAATTCATTTCATGCAGCGGATCAGTGTATTCGTGTTTTGTTTGCCCTTTGTAGGTTTGTAGTGCAAATTGTACATGAGTGAGGTTTACTGGAATCACTCAAATTTTGCTGTTGCACACTAGAAAATGACTGTTACCTTAATTTAGTTTACGTTTAAGGTTGGTGTGGTTCATGTGATTTGGCAGATCATAACCAGTTCGATGTCAATGGCATTGATCGAACTGGTTACGCAACCATTGTATTTGCAAACTTTGGACCACTGATTTCCCTGCACACTGCAAAAAATTTCGTATTTAAGGGCACATTTTCGTAGCTGTATCATTTTGGACAATGCTTGGCAGTACTCAATGTTACTCACCAAGTTGTGTGGCCCAATAAAAACACAGACATGTGTTGGATGTTTATGTTTTATAACCGAATAATACTTGGTTACTCAAAAAATTTCAAAATTGTTCGTTGTCAATTTATATAACTTCATTTTTATAATTAGAACCGTCAATATTATAAATCACCATATAAAGATTGCTTCTGCAAAAAATTAATTAAAACTAAGGTCATTTAGTTAATATATTATAACAAATACATAACAGTTCGTTATGCTTTTACCAATACCGTTCATTTATTTTTAATTTATTTTTTGCATAAATGATTTTTATAGTATGATTTATAGTATGAACGATTTTGATCATAAGCATAGAGCTTTGTGATTAAAACACTAAGAGTTTTGGGTAAGAGTTTCTACTCATCTTTGAATAGCCAAGTATTGTTCTTTATAACCAAGCAACCAAACACCCTTTTCTCTTACCCAATACCAAACAGACTTCATCTTCTTCCTCCATCAAGTTTGCAAATCCTCCCCACCATACCTAGCATGGCTTCTCTTCTCCGGCAACCCCAACGGGCCAACCCCACCACCAATCCTTTTCTTCGACAACCACCACCAATCCCACTCTTCTATAATAATATAATGGCAAATTCTCGTCATCCGTCGTGAACGACGACAATTGACGAGGACGGGCTCCCGTGACTTATTGAACATCGTGATCCTCATTGCCACAAAAGTCGACTGCCTCCACGTCAATAATGCATAGTTGCATATTTCATCGTTGTCAGTCTCACTGAGGTGGTGGAATCAATGGTTGGACGAGGGATTGGGGTCGGGGTGGGGTCAATGGAGGATTGAAGTTTGAGGAGGGTAGGCAAACTGAAGAAGCAGCTGTGGTTGGAGGAGGGATTAGGGTCGGGGTGGGGTGGGTCAATGGAGGATTGAAGTTTGAGGAGGGTAGGCGGACTAAAGAAGCAGGTGTGTTGGTATTGGTTTGGTACTGAGGTGCTTTTATAAAAAGTGGATATAAAAAAAGCTGAGCTTAAAAAGGTGTTTGGTAAACACTTAAAAACAACTTATTTTCACAGTTTTTGGTGAAAAAAAGCTAAAAACGTGAAGCAGCAAAAATGAGATTTGAAAAAAAGTAGAATACGTGAAGCAGCATAAATGTTGGATTATATGTTGAACGTTGAATTATGATTTCTTGTTAAACGTTGGGTTATATGTTTAAGATAAAGTTTATAAATATTTTTCTTTTAAACTTAAAGTATATGTTATAGAATTAGTGGGTGAATGCCCACTCAAAAGATTGCCCAAAGACTTAGTAATAGTGAGTAATAGTGTTTGATACTTTCAAAAGTATCATCATTGTATTCTGATGGTTGTAGTTACGAGAGTCGCTCTATAAATAGAGTACTATGTCTATTATCAAATGCACTGCGAAAGAAAGTAAGAGAAATAATATCAGTATCCCTCCCTCTCTTTATCTGCCATCCTTTTTGTGTTATGGCTACTAAAGTCATAGTGTGATATTTTGCACCTGCTTCACTCCTGTCCTTAGAAGGTTATCTATCTAACTTTTGTCTATTTATAACACGTTATCAGCATGACTCTCTAACCTTAAATAGTTCATATTTCCCTTCACCGAAAGAAAGAAAAAAAAATGCTTCCTTTAATTTTTTTCCTATTTTTCTTCTTCTTCTTCTTCTGCTTCATCTGCGTGATGCACCATCGCGATGAATTGCTAGCACTATTTCTGCTTCTCGTTCTAAATTTAACAGTTACTTATATCTTTGATTTCTTGTTTGGTGTAGTTCCTAGTTTCTAACTTAGTGTTTATTTATGTTAATTTTACTGTAATCAAAGATGGTGCGGTATAATCGTCCATCTTGAACTGCAAATTTAATTTTCACTGCATTCAAAGATAGTGCGGTACAATCGTCCATTTTGAGCTGCAAATTTAATTTTACTGTAATTTTAGGTGGTGCGGTATAATCGTCCACCTTGCTCTACATATTTAAATCGATTATATCTTGCTCTGCATATTAAAATTTTTCTGCTGTTCAAGTGGTGCGGATATAATCGCCCATCCTATGCTTGTTTCGATGAGAATGGTGCGGTATAATCGCCCTTTTCATTAATCATGCAAATCTCGAGCCTAAAGTTACGAGTGCTTATCATTTTTGGCCTGAAGATCAAAATGAAACATTTGTAAGAACCAGAAGTTCTGACGCTATATTCTTCCAGAAATACATATTATTGCAAGTTCTTACGCATCTTATTTTTCTTTTAGAAAGAAAAGAAAATGGCGAACTTGGCAAAACTTGATTTTGCTGCCCTGGACATTACTGGGAAGAATTATCTTACCTGGGTACTAGATACCAAGATCCATCTGGAAGCAGGGAATCTTGGAGATACCATTAGGAAAGAAAACAGCTCATCCTCTTAAGATCGAACAAAGGCCATGATCTTTATTTGTCGCCATCTTGATGAGGGGCTAAAGAGCGAGTACTTAACGGTTGAAGATCCGTTAGCTCTCTGGAAGGCATTGAGAAACATATACAATCACCAGACAACATTGATTCTTCCAAGGGCTCGTTATGAATGGACTCACCTAAGGATCCAGGATTTTAAGTCAGTGGCTGAGTACAATTCTGCGTTGTTCAGAATTACCTCTCAGATTAAGCTTTGTGGGGATACCATTACCGAGGAAGATATGTTGGAAAAGACTTTCAGCACATTTCATGTCTCTAACGTGCTCCTGCAGCAGCAGTATAGAGCACGAAGCTTCATTGAATACAACAAGCTGATATCTGTGCTCTTGGTAGTTGAACAAAACAATGAGCTCTTGATGAAAAATCATCAGTCCCGACCTACTGGATCTGCACCATTCCCAGAAATGAATGCTGCTTCCCTCTAGTGGTGATAATCATAAACAAGGACGTGGCCATAAACAAGGCCGGTGGAACAGGAAAGGCAAGAATCATGGTGGTCAGTTTCACAACCAGATTCCAAGGCAAAATTCAGGCCCAAACTTTAAAAATGGAAATCGCCACAAAGGCAAAGCTTGTATGAACAATGCTTCTAGAAACTCTGATCGAGCCTGCCATAGGCGTGGTGGCGATGGGCACTGGGTGCGTACTTGTCGTACCCCAAAACATCTGGTGGATTTATATCAAGTCTCCCTCAAGGAGAATGGTGTCAAGACTAATTTCCTCGATCAGGCTAGACCAATGGATATACCTGATCCAGTGTGCGACTTATGAGGACAGTTGAACACACCCTACCTAGATGTTTCGGACTTCATTGTGGAAAAGGGGAATGAAGTGTATTGGTCCGACTGAATCATTTATATTTGATGTACTTTTATTATTCTGAACTTGTAGTTTACAAACTCACATTTCAATAAAAGAGGCATTTAAATTTCTAAGTTGTTTTTAACCGTGATCCCCTTTAATCAGAAAGCATGGATAAAAGCTATGGTTATTCTCAAAACATGAGAAATGGCGGAGATATTTGTCTTGCAGATAGTGCAACCACACATACAATACTTCATGATCGAAAGTATTTCTCAAGCTTGATGCTTACAAGAGTAAGGGTAACAACAATATCTGGTCAATCGAATGTAATTGAAGGCTTAGGGAAAGCCCAGATTATGTTACCAAATGAAACAATATTGTCCATACAGAATGCATTGTATGCTACTCGATCTACTCGAAATTTGTTGAGTTTCAAAGACATACGTTTAAATGGATACCACATTGAAACGAAATGTGCATAAAATGTGGAGCATCTATGCATTACCTCCAAAGATACCCAGAAGCGTATATTGGAGAAGTTGTGTGGTTTGTTTAGTGGATTATATTACATAAGGACAATTAAATCACATGCTGTCATGAACTAGAAGTTCATTGATTCAAAAGATTACATGCTTTGGCATGACCGTTTGGGTCATCCAGGATCCACTATGATGCGTAGGATCATTACCAACTCTAATGGACATCCATTATTGAGCAAAGACATTGCTATCTCAAATGATAACCTTTGTAAGGCTTGTTCTCAAGGGAAGTTGGTAATTAGACCATCATAACTAAAGGTTGATGCTGAATCCCCATCATTTATGCAAAGAATTCAAGGGGATATTTGTGGACCTATTCAACCATCTTGTGGACCATTTCGATATTTTATGGTTTTGGTTGATGCATCTACCCGATGGACACATGTTGACTCTTATCTACTTGGAATGTAGATTTTGCGAGACATTTTGCTCAGATAATCAAGTTGCAAGCACATTTCTCAGATTATCCCATTAAGTCAATTCGACTTGATAACGCAGGTGAATATACGTCTCAAACCTTTGATGATTACTGCATGACATTGGGCATTGATGTTGAACACCCTGTTTCTCATGTCTATACTGAAAATGGTTTAGTAGAAGTATTGATCAAGCAGCTTCAGTTAATAGCTCACAGTCTGCTCATGAAAACAACATTGTTAGTTTCTGTATGAGGACATTGCATCTTACATGCTTCATCGTTGGTTTGATTGAGGCCTATAGCTAACCACCCATACTCCTCAGTACAACTCGTGTTTGGACATCAGCCAAACATTTCACATTTACGAGTTTTTGGTTATGCTGTTTATGTGCCTATTGAACCGCCGCAATGCACTAAAATGGGACCTCAGAATAGATTGGGAATTTACGTGGGTTTTGATTCACCATCTATCATTAAATATTTGGAACCACTGACAGGTGATATGTTTACAACTTGTTTTGCTGATTGTCACTTTGATGAGATAGTCTTCCTGTCATTAGGGGGAGAAAAGACTATTCCAGAAGAACGGCAAAAGTTGACATGGGTTGTACCCACCTTGTCCCATTTTGATCCATGTAGCACTCAATGTGAAAATGAAGTGAAAAGGATCGTTCATCTTCAAAGTATTGTCAATCAAATGCCAGATGCATTTAATGATGCTATGAAAGTGACAAAAT